GAGAGAGAGAGAGAAAAACATTGATGTGAGAGAGAAACATCAGTTGCCTCCTGCATGCACCCCTACTACCAGGGATTGAACCTGGAACAGTCATGTGCCCTGCCTGAGAATCAAACCCTCAGCCTTTCAGTGTATGGGATGATGCTCTAATCAACTGAACCACACTGGCTAGGGCTTTTTTGGGACATTTTTATATGCACATATACAAATGTATGTAATTGCCCTTCCAAAAATAGACTTAAACCACACATACTGTCTTTAGCTTGCTTTGCTCACTTATGGTCTTGTCCACATTATTCCACGTCAGTGTATTCAGGCCTGTTAGTAGGAAATAATTTGAGCAACCAGGATATGCCACCTCCTTTTGTTCAGATATGCTGTGACATTAGCTTTTCCAGACATACACTATATTTTGCTTGCTTATTAGAATATTTCTGTGGTTGGATTGAGAGGTGGACAATAGGAAACCCAGCATACTTTAGAGAAATCAGTATTTCTGATGCAGTGCATTTTGCTGGTTTCTACAGTTCCTATCATAGTAGCGTTTCAGCATGTGAGCCAAAGAAAAGAGTATGTATGAGTGACTGCATCATAAAAGAAGGGAAATTGACTCAATAGCAGAGATAGGGAGCAACCTGAATTTTATATCACTTGCAGTATGTTTGATGGGGCCAGTTTTTTTTTAAAATCACGAAGTTACCACAGTTAAAATTGTTGCATTTCCTTTTGGTGATGCTAACTTGGTGCATTTGATATTTCTGTTCTTTTGTATAGGATCCAAGCTACTGGATACAGGTGCATCGACTGGAACATGGAGATGGAGGAATACTGGATATTGACGACATCCTCTGTGATGTAGCAGATGATAAAGACAGAGTGAGTTCAAGTCCAGGGGAAGCTGCTCTGAGTGTCTATTGTGAAGACTGGGGAGGGAGTGGGTAGGAGGGAATACTTTCATTCCTGTTTAGACATACTTTAAAGAACATTTGGGCCATTCACTCTGGTATGTTTGTTTTATAAGAAGCATTGTGAATCGTTGCTACCCTGAACCCTAAGGTATAATGCTTTTTTTGATACCTGGGGCACAGTGCTAAGTTTGGGAATTTTAAAATTGCAACTTTTAAAATGGATATATATTTTTAAAGGTGCTTTTCCCTCATTTTTACCCCCTATTTTAACCAAACAGAACATCTTTCCTGACAACTCAGGTCTGTCATTATGATCATTATGTGTTTCGATGTGCGATGCACAGGTTTCTTAGTTCTGATCCCCACTTTGGTCCATTCCAACAGCTGGCCTGTCAATAAATTCTTTATTGTAATAGGTTTTGGCCACACCCTTTTTTGTGTTGACGTGTAACAAAATTATAGAAAGACTTAGCTGCATACACAGTTTTGTCATCATGGCCATGTAATAGCACAAGTTAGATTAAACCAGTGAGGGTATGTCTTGGGGTTGGAAGATGGTAAAATCTTGTGGGCCCTGGTCCTCTTGGGGAGCTCTCTCATTACTGGCCCTTTGCCTCATCCTTCATCTGCTCCTTTGCTTGTTGGAGAGCTGGATGAGCACAGCTGTTGTGTCTTGTTTACTCCTATGGTGGTGTGGTTCCTGCCTGAGAATTGGTGGGTGTCTTATGTGTTTTGTTGAAATCTTAAGAAAAATGAAAAATTTCAGGTACTAAATACTATGTACATTGAGTGATATCTCATTTTCTTGTTGTTACTGTGGGCCAGTAGCACATTGTGTAAAAAATGCAGAACTTTTCTACCCATTTATGATTTGTTGCTGTTTGTCTTGGTGGTGTTTATCTGTTTTAAGCTTTCCAGTGAGCCAGGAATAGGTGACTCTCAAATTCTTTTCCTGCATTCCTTCTGAAGACTTAAATTATAGTCAATTTATTGTGTGGTTCAGCTCTAAAACTTAAGGCAACTTCAGAGATTTATGGAGGTTTTAAACAGGTGCCCTTCCCCAGAGATAATATTACTAAGAGATTAATGTCCTATTGGTTTTTCATTATTTTCTTTTTCCTTGTTCGTTAGTTCTTTCTCTCTCTCTCCTTCTTCCTCCCTCCTCCTCCCCCTTTCTCCCCCTCCTTCTTTCTCCTCCCTCTTCCTCCTCCTTCTTCCTTCTTCCCCTTCTTCTTCCTCCTGCTCTCCTCCTTCCTCCTCCTTCCTCCTCCCCCCTCCTCCTTCCTCCTCCC